TTTTTTTTTTATGTTTATTAAATTAAACTAAAGAACATATTTTATGGTAAAGGACTAGCCAAATTTTATCTTGAGTCTTGTCCTTAATTCTCATTTCTGTTGATGTTACTTATTATTATTATTTTTTCTAGTAATTCTTTATTATTTTTTTAGTACCCTTGTGAGAAAATTCCTTTCTAAAAATACGATGATGTAAATTTTAAACGGAGTAAACTATGTGTTATTTTGTATGAATTCATTTTTTACTATAAAACAGTATTATTATTTTGTTATATAATTGATAAAGGTTGAAATGTACATAATATAATGCATATAAAAGTTAAATTAGTTTTAAGCTACTTTAAATGATATAAACATAAGACATATTTATAAAATATTACTTTTGGAAAGGTCTGTGCTTTTGGATTTGGTATTGCATTTTATTATAGGAAACACTGATTATCTTACGACAACTGATATAATGTGTTAGAAATTCAGTATATAAACATTTATTGTTGGTATTAACACATAGAACTATGAATTAAGGTAAACTTTATCTTAATTCATACTTATAGAACACATTAAAAGTTTTCTATTATTTATTACTTGAAAATGTACAATTCTATGTTTTATTAGGAAGCTGATATTGTAGGCATAATGTTCAAGAATATAAATAAAATTTTATTTAATTAGCTGTTGGATATAAATCATACATAATGTATAACGGATTCCCATTGCATACATTTGTTTATTTGTCTATTTGTGTTGGGTGTAATTTTAACAAATTATAGATGAAATCAAGGTGGTTATTTATATTGTCAGTATCTAAACTAAATACAGTCAACTCACAATTTAAAGAATTTTAAGGGACTGAGAAGAAAGTTTGGCTTATCAAAAACATAATTTAACAAAATTTGTTTTTGATAAGATTTAAAAGAACATTTCAGTGTTGTATTTGCCGGAAGGAATTCAATTCGCCCATTAGAGAGAGTTAAGGGTTTTTATGGGTAGTGCAATTATGATAATTTTTCTATGTTGTAATTACATTGTTCCAATGAAATAAGGGCATCAAAATTGTAAAAAATATTATAATAATATATACATCAGTGGTTCTTAAGGGGGGAGGTACTGCCCCCTGGTGGGCTTTTGATCTCTCTGGGGGGCGATGAGGTTTTTCAAACTCTGTGATTAAAAATAATACAATTTATTAATATTATACAACACTACAAATAATTGAACATGAAATCAGAATAGTTGTAATTGCGTTTTGCATACGCTATACAACATACGGAATGATACCTATTCACATTTTACGTATCGCAAACGTCTTGTGTATGAGAGATATATCTTTACATTTTCAACCATAACTGGACTATTGTATACTGTATCTTGCAGTGCGTTTTTGATTTGGTATGGGAGGGGGAGCGTTAGCAGTTATTACAATAAAGGGGGCACTGAACTAAAAAAGGTTAAGAACCACTGATGTACATAGTTTCAAGAGCTTTCACCAAAAAAAACTTATTTTTATCGAATGGACAAAAATACATTTAATTTTTCTCTATATTATAAAATTTTCAAGAGAACGACAATTTTATTTGTTATATCGAGATTTTCATCATATTGAGCTTCATTACATTGTGAGTTGACTAATACACTCTWACAAAAAAAAAAAGTTTACTACAGATTTTTGAAATATAATGAGGTTTATAAGACTAAAATTTTAGTTTGACAATTGTATTTTTGTTTTAAGGTAAAACTATAATAGTGTATTAAATAAATTATAAATGTATTAACAATAGAGAAATTAATTTCATATAAAAAAAAGTGAAATAATAACTTTATTTAGATAACATTTCATAAAGTTTGAAGGGAGTTAGCGCAAGGGTCTTGAACAGGTTCTACAAGATCAGGATGATGTTTTTTAATGTGCCTTTGCAAAAACGTGTTGATTACAAATCTATCATCACATATGTCACATTTATATGGTCGATCTCCTGTATGCCATCTGGTATGTATGCGTAAAGATGTCTTTTGAGTAAAGCCTTTTGAGCACAAGTCACATTTGAATGGTCGCTCACCTGTATGTATTCTTTTATGTTCGACTAGGTACTTACTAACTGTGAATGCTTTGCCACACATTTCGCACACGTGATTTTTCTCGCCAGTGTGAATGCGCACATGAAGTTTTAGATGGTGTGCTGAACTCAGCAGTTTGTTACAATAAGAGCATTCATATTTCAGACCTAAATGAGATTGAATGTGTCGTCTGTAACTGCCTATACGCCTGAATGCTTTTCCACAGGTTTCACATTGGTAGCTAACCGATTCTGCTGACGTTGTATGTACTTTCATATGGCTGTATAAATTGGTCTTGGACGTGCATAATTTGCTACAACGATCACATTGGTATGGCTCGGCACCATGGTTTTTAATTTCATGTGTAGCCAACTCGTCTTTGTTAAAAAAGCCTGCTTGGCACGTATCACAGAATACACTGTACACTTTTTTATGTCTATTTTCATGATATTGCATTCGACTTTTATAGGGTGTACGATAATCACATGTGTCGCATGAATAAGTGACACTAGGATGTTCTTCTTTTTTGTGTTTTTGCCGCGCACACATTGTTTCAAATGTTTTATCACAACAATTGCATTTATAAGCAGAGTGTGGATGTGCATCATTTTGATGATCTTTTAATGCATGTTTAGTATTAAAAGATTCTTCACATTTTCTGCATTTGAAAAATTTTATTTTAACCTTTCGAGGGGTCTTAGCTCTATCTGATATTTGGTCATCAATTTCATCAATGCTGTGTAAAACATAATAAATCAATAAATTAATGACATTTGATAGAAAATCAAACAGACAACTTCTATTATATTTAGATTTAACAGTATTATTAATTGATAAGTCATAACTGAATAAACTGGRTACTTGAGGTTATGATATATAATTTTAGAAWGGGGCATAATATTATGTTATGAACTTACGGATCTATTTTCACATTGTCTTTCGTTTCAATTTCCGATTGATTACTTTCAGACCAACTCTCTGGTTCATTGTATTCAGATTTGTATTCTGTGTTTTGGTCATAATTAATGGTAACCACTGGTTCAAAACTACTGGAAGCCTGTTGATTAAAGAAATTGTAATGAATTAATCGAATGAGATTATTAAATACTTAAGTAGTAATTAAAGTTATTATTATACTAAAGAGGACGTTTCACCCGCATGTGTTGTCTCCGTCTTACAAGTGCGTAACATT